AAACTACAACCAGCAGGGCAGCCAGGGCAGATGGATTGTTTTTAAATAATGAGGAATTGTGCTGCATGGTACACCCTTCAAACTGAAAATTGAAAAGCTGTCCTTCATGCTATGTCATTCCCTAACATCTCCAATTATCTGGCTCCATGCCTCCGTTTATTTATTGAGACTGTCAATTCGTATTATGAATCGGGCAACAAAAATATAGATCGTTCAAAATGATCCCCTCCTCGTTTTTTTGTGTCTGCAGACGTCTGCGCATGCTTCAGGGTGCACGTGATGTACAAGTGCACACCGACCGCATGGATCTGTGAACAAAAAGCAGAAAATAAAATTCTAGGCGAAACAGAATCAAAGCAGATATTCCTATGACAATTATGACATTCCTGCAAAAGCAGAATTTCTTCTCCGCACGCTGGTCCTGTCATGCAGTCTACCAAGTGAACAGATGATTTAATGAACCCATCAATCATAGAATACAAAAGCGAAGTATAGTCCACTTCTTGATCCTCTGATTTTTTTAATTGGGTCCCACGAGACACAATGTTTTTCCACATCAAAATCAGTTTTACCCCACCATTATAACCGACTCTGCTGCTAACAATCATGCAAGACGAGTGTGACGCCAATGACTGGGATGGCAAAACTGGATTGAGTTAAACATTAAAGATGAGACTTTCGTTTTGGGCTGAAGGCAATTTGAAGCTAGTGCTGTAAGAGTGTAAGAGTGAGTGTGGGTGTGCCTTTCCAACGTGCCCAACATGTTTTTGGTGGTGTACAGGGAAACCCTTTTTAGATGAACCATGTTGGGACTCCACGCATGAGTCCCTTGCAGTGAATGGCAGGTCATCTGCATGGAACAGACAGCACACAGGAGAAGCGGTAGGCTCTGAACAGGCTTTATGAAGACACATAGAGTCACTATTGAGACAGCAATCAGAATCCTCCTGGGACCCCAGCGGACAGAAGAGGGAGAATGAAAGGCAGATGACTCTGGAATCAAGCAGTAGACTCCATGATTCAAGTGACAGCCCAACCCAGTGCATGCGCACGAACACACACCATCTTCTGAATGATTTTTAACCAGGTTTGTTGTATACGATAAAATCCAGAATAGGCTACGGTACTTGACAAATAGAAAATGCTGCAACATCGATAACATAATTACAGTGAGAGTGAGAAAACAGTGCTCTTTGCATGATCCCTTAGTAGCATGCAACACAGTAGGTGGATTCTTAGCTTCATAAGATTTGCCTTTAATGATATTATATTAAATGGATTTAGCATTAAAAGTTGCAATGTTGACACTGTGGAGGTACAAACTGTATAATAGCATAAACCAAATGTGATACAGTTTTAAGTAATGGCTCATACGCACACATACACACCCTCTATGACGTAAAAATGGTAGCATTCTCTCTCATTCTCCAACGCTCTCTCCATCTCCCTTTTTTCAGTTGGCTTCAGTCCACCCCAACAGATGGGTCAGTGTCAATAGGCTGCTATTAACTGGACACATGCCTCTCATGGGGCTTGGAGACCAGATCATACTGTCCTAAACACAGTTTTCAAAAAAAAAGAAGAAAGAAAGAAACAGCTAATTTTCCTGCAGACATACCCACTTTCAGCTAACCTCTGCTTTTCACACTCTCTAGAAACAAAACAGGTTGAAAATTACTTATTCTTGCCTGCTTAGTTATTTTGAGAGAAAAACATATTTAGTTTAGTGGTTTGTATTGATTTTGTATTGAGTTTAGCTGCGTCCGTTGGCATGAAGATGATGATTAGGCTTTGCCATAGACAGTATGACATTTAATATTAAACAAAAGTTAATTATTTAGCACAAAACAACATAATGAATCTGGACTAATTTTATCCACTCTTCTTAATTACAGCTAAACATTTTAAATTAAACATCTTGTGAAAGTCTAATTTAGTATGCATTCTATATAATTATAAAGGAAAATAAAACAACACATTTTAAGATCTAAAGCTGAGAATGAGTTGCTATATATATATATATGTATGTATGTATGTATGTATGTATGTATGTATGTATATATATATATATATATATATACACTACCGATCAAAAGTTTGGGATCAGAACGATTTTTTATGTTTTTAAAGGAGTTTCTTATGCTCATCCAGGCTGCATTTATTTGATCAAAAATTTAATATTGTGAAATATTATTATGATGTAAAATAACATTTCCTTCCTTAATTTATTCCTGTGATGCAAAGCTGAATTTTCAGCATCATTACTCCAGTCTTCAGTGTCACACGATTCTTCAGAAATCATTCTAATATGCTGATTTATTATCAATGCTGGAAACTGTTGTGCTGCTTAATATTTTTTTGGAACCTGTGATACTTTTTCTGGATTCTTTGATGAATAAAAAGTTAAAAAGAAGAGCATTTATTTAAAATAGAAATCTTTTTAAACAATATACACTACCGTTCAAAAGTTTGGGGTCAGTAAATTTTTATTCTTTATTTTTTTGAAAGAAATTAAAACTTTTATTCAGCAAGGATGTGTTAAATTGATAAGAAGTGATAGCAAAGATTTATATTTTGAATAAATGCTGTTCTTTTTCACATTTATTCATCAAAGTATCCTGAAAAAAGTATTGCGGTTTCCAAAAAAATAGTTGGCAGCACAACGGTTGCCAACATTGATAATTCTAATAATAAATCAGCATATTAGAATGATTTCTTAAGGAGTGTCTGTGAAGTTTCAGCTCAAAATACTCCACAGATCATTTATAATATCATTTTGAAAATGCCTATTTTGAGTGGAAGCAGAAACACGCTGTTTTTCGGGCCTGTCTCTTTAAATGCAAATGAGCTGTTGCTCCCCACCCCCTTTTCCAGAATAGAGCTGGCCTTTACAGCTCGGACCTGCTAAAAACATCTGTTTTGGTTTTGATTATCATGTTTATCGCGCTGAAATAATGCGTTTTAAACCATATGAGTTTACACTTCTGATATATGGTTTTCTGAGTGCACGGACAGAAAGCGGCTGTCACAGCATGTGAGTGCTAAACTAAGTTCTCATTCAAACACAAGTTTATGTTAAAAACACATGAGTTACATTAAACAGTTGGTTATGTCTGTGAAGGTAAACATCTGGGAAATAAATCGCATGTTTATTTTAGATCTGTGTGGCAGCAGCAATATACAGTAAATAAATCAATAAATACTCTACTCTCTTGTCTCCTCTGAGGCTGGGACTCTAAATAGTGTTCTGTGCTCGTCTGTGCAGTCAAAGACAGAACAGTTAGCATGTTTTGCTCAAACTTTCGCATGGCATTAGAGCTGTTACCAGAGTATGTGAGCGGAGTGGAGCGGCAACAATTTCCCCTCCACGCTCCAAGCATTCAATAATCACTCCGCTCCGGGTTCACCATTTCCCGCTCCCGCTCCACTCCTCGCTCCACTGATCAGAAACACTGCTCCACGGCTAAATTATTTCACTATGCTTGAAAAATCAAAGTTCTGTTCAGAAATTACATTAAACGAAAAATAAATGCATAATACTAGAAGAATAGTTTTAACGGTTTATTTAACACTACAATTAGCCCAAGTCCATATTAAATGACTGCTTAACTCACTTAGCTTACTTGTCTGTGCAACGTCTCTCTATTATGGCGAAGCTGAGGGTATTACTTCAGAAACAGAAAGAATATGCTGTAACTAAAACCTCAACGCTCCGACTTTCAAAAAATCCGCTCCTAGCTCCAGGCAAAATCATCTTTTTCACATTTCCTTGTTTGGTAGATGCACCGGGGACCTGATTATAGCACTTAAAACCTGGAAAAGTCAGATTTTCATATGTCACCTTTAAATGCAATTTGATTACTGCCTTTATCTACAAAAAATGCTGCACAAAAAAATAACCTCACAAATGTTGGACAAGAGTAAGAATATCTATTATTCTATGCCATTCTCAAACAAATTTAAAGGGTTTGGTTGCCAACAAAACACAATTCAATTGTCTATGCAATTTAATAATCATGCATTATGCCCATTCGTCCATATAAATGACTCCAAAAGGTATTTGAACACTTAAGCCAAATTTAAAATGTATAAATTAAGTATCAAACCAAGCAGCATATGTGAACAAATGATGCTAGTCCTTTCAGAACTAACCATGGTCAGGTAATATTAGTATGAAATAAGTTCACACAGGTGCCACTAGCAGAGTAACCACAGGTGTATTTCTTCACATTAACCATGGAAATGTTCTACTGTCTGTTCTGATTTGACAACCAGAAAGTATGGTCCTGTCTTTAAAATAAAAACCACTTGGTATGGTATTTTGTTATCCAATACAGTGGCATTTATATATTTACATTGATACATAAGTGTCCAAATGCATTTTGGGGCCAATGAAGCTATGTAAAGCATTGAATCGAAGCATTGAATTATGTACAATTACACCAGCGTCTTGCTCTAATAACATTTCAGAGGAAGAGACTTGTCCATTTCATAAATATGCTCTGGGAGCGATATGCCGACATTTCATCGGGGGTTTACTCCAGCTAGATGCCACTGGTCAAAGTTTTCTTAATGCTATTGGTCTATAAATCTACCCCGTTCCCATACATCAAACGTGGCTGTCACGAGGCGACGGAGGCGCGGGGGGAGGCAAGAGAGAGGAGAACGGAGGTGAGCAGGTGCCAAAGCGATCATGTGTTCCCCACAAGCAGCAGGAGGAGATCCGTGAAGCCAAACGGAGAGGAAAAGATGAGCCAGGAAAGGCAGATGTGCCTGTGTCATGTCTGTTATGAACAGTCTTCCCACCTTGTGGTAACACTGTGAACTGTAACTGCAGGAGAGCGTGATCGAGAAATAGAGAGAGGGAGCGAGTGGAGGGTGGGGTGGGGGTAAAGAAAGATAGAGCGAGAGGGAGTGTGAGGAAGGGAGGGAGCAAGGAAGGAGAGAGAAAGAGAAAGGGTGAGGGATTGAGAGAGAGACAGAGAGAAAGAGAGAGAGAGAGAGTTTATACTTAGAGCTATGTTTTGGGACGAACTAATCTGCTAGAGAGCAGTGTGAGGATCGGAACGCATTGTGTGAGCGAGTGTGTGGAGGACAGATAAGGGAAGAAGCCCGGCAGACTGACTGCTTGTTTTAATGTGCTGACTCTGGGGAGCTAAAAAAATATATATATATTGACTCTTCAGTCGTGCGGCGTGAGCCAGGGCACAAGCGCCACATTTAACAGAGGTGCACCAGAAAACACGGGCGCGAGAGAGGAGAAAATACATCCAGCTAGACAGCACATATAGAGGATTTCTCCTTCCTTTTCTTCTTTTTTTTTTAACCTGTTAATTTTTCTTTCTATTTTTCTCGGGACTGATTCCCATTTCCAGTAGCAAAAAAGGAGCCGTAGAGCCACGAGAACACCAAAAAAACCCACAAAAAAGCGTCAAGAAACGAAACACCGCAAACAAGATGTTTGAAATCAGCCGAACACTGAATGCTGCTTTGTTGAGCAATGAGGTAAAGGAATTGGATTTTCTTCTTCTGTCACCTCACTTCTCTAAGTGTGTGTTCATTATTCCGTTGTGCGTAACATTTGTATGTTTTATCAGTGTGTCCATGCTTCTAAATGCGGCAGCTGACAGGTCTAAATGAATGTGCAGGGATTGAGCATTTAGGTCCAGTTAAACAGCTGCTAGCTGAAGGCAGAACCTCTTTGCTCTCCGGGCGTACTGTAATGGATGAGAGACTAGACTCGCTCTCTCTCCCTCTCCCATGCACAATCATTTCATTTTCTCATTTACTCAAAGCAAGATATCTGTAACTGCTGAGCTTGCTTGATGACTTGCCCATCTGGGGCTTGCACTGACTGTGTGCGTGCGTGTTTGTGTGTGTATAGCACGAATGTGAACGTAAGCACACGGCTCTCTATCACTGTGGCAGTTTTCTCTTTTCATTCCGCCTTTTGCTTTTTCTTTAGCCTGTATATTTAGATACCACCTTGGCTAGCATTCTGTTCTGTTCCTCTTCTCTTCTTTTCTCCTCTTCCCTGTAAACGCGCACATCGCGAGCAGTGTCTGAAGATGATGGTAAGGTGTTCACAGAACTCGGCAGTAGCCCAGGTGGAAGGCTCCTTCCCAGGTATGGGCTCGCTGCTTTTCCCCCGAGATCCATCCAGTCAACTGGGGGCCAGGGCGCTGGGGGTAAGAGGATAGATGGATCCGTCAGACAAATGAATGAGAAAATAGACGGCACAGTAGAATAAGAATACTAACTTCATTTAGGTAAATGTGTGCAGCCCTTAGGCTTGAATTAGCCAATATTTTCATCCCTCATTGTGTGATGATACGGCCACCCACTCCGACTAGATCTTTCTATCAGTTAGCCAGAGAGAAAGAGAAAGAGAGAGACAGATTGCGAGAGAAAAAGCAGCTGGTGTAAGTGTATTGTTTGTGTATTCCTGCTCGGAATGTGTTTGTGCGGTGGTGTACTGATGCCTGAAATTGAAAGTGCACCGCATGTGTGTGAGTGTGTATGCTTAAAGTCATTTGAGCATAGTGAGGTTAGATGGCTAAAGGACAGATTTTTGTACGTATGTTTGTTTCAAAATTTTGTTTCATTTCATTCATGAATTTCAAACAACTTTCCGAATGTGTTGTGTTGGTGCTCTGCAGCCTTTTAGCACAAACGTGCTTGGAAACGTGTGAAATAGAAAGCATGTGTCTTATACTAAACAGTCAGTTACAAAACTACCTCAAGTTAAACAATATGTGAGTGGCTCTATTATAATTCTTTTAATTTGTAGCACATCAAAATTAAGTTGTTTTATTTCTCCACTGATAGGTGGCCATAATTGAGCATACTAGTAGATAAATAGCTGGCTAAGGCTTTTCCTGATTATAATGACTGTGTTTTTAGTCTGGAGCTATGAAAGTGGATAACCATCCTTATGATCTCATTCAGTCATTTCTGATCTTCTACTACAGTCTTGGGGGGAAGAGAGATGGCTGTATGGGAAAGCCCTGGCTGGCTGGCTGGTGCTGTAAGAGCCGGTCGGTTAAGAATAAATCCCTGACTTGGTGCATTAAATCGACACGAAACTGTGGGTGTCTAATCTGTGATGGGCTCTCGTTCCTCGTCTCCACAAAACAGGATCAGCCTGCCTGCCTGTAGCCGCACCACATTCTCACACAAATCAGACTCAAAATGACAGCACTGGAGCTCCTCTGCCAGTGCACACACACACACACACACACACACACACAAGTGTACATACACACACTGCGATCGCATGCAGCTGGGTGTTCATAGGCAGAGAGAGCAGATTTTTAAACCCTTCTTTGCAACCTTTCTGAGGTGTGTGTACACACTTGCCTTAAAATCCTCCGCAGCTCAGGGATTTGAAACATTTTGCATATTCATCCTGGTGATTCTCCAGCTCTAAGATGACAGAAAAAAGAAACAAGACATGTAAAGTCACAACCACAAATATTCTCATTTGAACTACAATTATTTTACAAGTAAATCTGGAAAATCACTGTCATCCAGCAATCAGTCACTATTTGGCCTGGGAAAGCGGAAAATCTATGCATCATTTAATATGTAATGAAAATTAGCGACAGCGGTATGTATGCGTCACTAGTCGTTGGAAACCATGTGACTGCGCAAAGTGTTATTCTAGATTTTTCACATTGGCAGAACACTGAATCAGTTCACAAAAGTAGAAATCTTTTTTTAAGATAAAGATGGTTTGATGAGAAGTGGTTTCTCTCTGTTTCTCTTTCCACCTCGAGAGACTGTCAACAGTTTTAATGTTCTACTTCTGCACTTTTCATATTAAAGATAGAAATAATAGAATAAAACACTGATATATGAATTTTTCAGCTGCTATGTCTGGCATAATTTCATCTATTTTTTACTGTTATGAAATAACAGTCATTGTACATTACATGTGATTATTTGTTTTATTTCTGGATATAAAATATACCCTTGCCAATTTTCTTCTTAGTTGTTTTTTTTTCCCGCTTCATTTGGATAATAAATTGTGCTGTTTATTCGTTTAGGAGCAGGAAAATATGTCTTTATCTCTGCTAGACTGTTTCTTCTTGAAAAAAATCTGCATTTGTTACTTACATTTCTCCGCAGACACACAACTCACATTTCAGATTGTAATTAACCAGGTTAAATCAGACCATCGTTACAGTAATTAATTGTGCCTTCATTAACTGAAGCCAGATAATTAGCATACATTAAATCATTGTACAGGGAAGAGATAGAGGTCTGATTAGGCCTTTTTTGTGAGAGGGAGATCGTATTCTTTTTTTGTAGTTCCCTGTCAGTATTTTTATTTTTATTTTTACATGCATTAGGTTGCTTTCAGACATTTTGCCAAGAAAAATGACTAGAACATTCCATCTGGATGCAGCTTTTTCAGTTAGATTTCTATATGTGCAGCATGTGTAGTATTCATATATCAAAGTAATTATTGTATTTTATGATTAAGTAAATTAATCAAGCAATGAAAACACTCCTAGCTAGATCCGAAGATGTTTTTATAAACATAAACTGACATAAAAAAGTAATGCGCAATCATGAGAAGCAATGGATCACTAACTCAGAGATCACTATTTATCAGTATGCTTTAACATATTCCTATAAACAATCTCGAATAATTTAATAAAAAGTAGAAAAACATATGCAGCACATAACAGTAGTTATGCTTGATTTTGGTACACTCATGGATTCTCGAACATCCAGAAGACACTGAAATGATTTCCAATCACAGTTAATAACCGCAGTGTTTTTTTAATTAAGTGTGACACATTGCCACTTGAGATATTGCACTAAGCAGGATATGGTGTGATTTCCAATTATAAAACAGTTTTCAGCATTCAGCACAAATGATGAAAACCTCTGAAATAACACAAAAGTACAATTACGAGAAAAATGGCACGTTCTGATGAAAATACATCTGACTTGGTAGGGTTATGGGTATTAATCCAAACACATGCAGATTTGCTAGATTAAAAATTTCCAATGCTGATTGGAGATGCTGTTCATGTGCACACACACGCTCCAGCAGTCCACGGGTTACAGCTGCTCTATGTCAAACGCCGGCATGCTAGCTTTCTAACTTCATTTTCAGCCATTTTTGGAGGTTACGTTCGCTTCTAAATTCGTTGGAGGGAGCTGAGAAACAAGCAGAGATGAGGGGGAGAGGAGAGGGAATTGAACAGCGATTGGCAAATGTCTGTTGGCAGTGCGAGAGATAGGCAGGGTCATCTCTATTTCACAACAATGATTAGCTCTGCCCATCTGCCGGCTCGACAGGCTCCTCCTGCTGTGATTGCAGTGTTCTCTGTTCAATGTAGCCCTGAAAATTAGTTCATTTGTGCTGCTCAACCCCAGCCTAACTGGACTGAGAACAGGTGCAGCATTCTACCCCCGCACAAAGCCATAGCGAGCGTGTGCACGCGTGTGTGAATCCTCTACAAGAGCAGCCGAGCAGCAAGTAAAGCAGACTCATCAACTGTGAAAAGATTCACATCTCTCAACACAATGGCAGTAGATTGCAGTGGATCCACTTCCTGTTCAAATATAAGAACCTTTTTCTCCTTCTAGTAGGACGTCTCTCCTTATTAGTGTTCACCTCAGAATTTTGACATCAATACCTTTATACTTCTGTGTATATTTAGCCTGCCACAAAAGCAACTGTGTTAAACCCAATATGACACTAGAACTTTATTCTTGCTGCTGAGAATTTTAAGTGTTTCACATCATTATTATTACTATCCAGATTTAATTTCCGACACATAAGGACAGTCTCAGTCCTTGATTCTTTACTAGTGTGGAAATGGCAGAGCCATCACACAGAAAGATCTGGAGCCCAGAGCCCTGCAGCTTCAGAGTCCGCCGCTATTGTCAGAGCACTTTGCCATTTTGGAAAAAAAGGCCGCAAGAATGAGCTATTTAACCTGTGGGTCACTCAACTGTAACTGCACACACATTCAGGAGAGAATTAGCCACCTTGCGCTGCTCAGACTCGTGTGTGTGTGTGTGTGTGCGTGCGTAAATGATAGAGTGCAGAAACAGAGACTCCTGTTTCGAAAACTAGCTATGCAGGACCACTTGTTTTTAATAGACATATGCCAAATGTTGCACAGAACTGCATCCAAATACTGTGTGAGCATTATGGTTACACTCTGAGCTCATATGGATTGCATAAAGAAATGAAGAGAAACCAAACAACATATTCTGAATTGTGTGAAAGTAAAAATAGTGGTTGTTGTATTTAAGTAATCTGATGGATGATGATAAACATTGTCTGTAAAAAATGATTTATCGTCTGTAAAAAAATAAAAAGAAAAAGAAAGAAAGAAAAATTAAAGAAAATGCAACTGCTATTAGATCATTTTTGTCTCTGTACCACAATATCAGTGGCATTAACAGAGACAATGTTTACTATCTATCTATCTTTGAAAATGTTTAATATAAAACAACAGTACAGTACACTCAGGATAAATGTATCCACAACTGATATTGATATTCTATATCTATTGTATAGAACAACGGGAAATTATCCTCAAGATCATTGTGTGTCCATCAGAAAAAATCCACATTTTAATTTTATAATTCTGATTTATTCTATTCTATAATAACGTTCCCAATATGAAATAGCCTGCTATTGCTCAGGATTAGTTTGACTGCAATAATGGCCCAGTTGACTACTGAGTTTAGATCTAACTAAAGGGGCAAACCCAAGCTACAACACACAGGAGACCCTAGATATCCTATGAAACGTGTGTAAGGATGCATTAGCTGAAGCAATCTGGCTGCAGAGCCATAAACGCTGGCAGTTTTGTGTTTTCGGGCATAAGCATGTTAAGCAGGAAAAGAGGATGACTACTCATTAGGAAACAAATGTAATTAAATTAAGTTTGTACTGTCATCACAAGAGTGCATTTGGGTGTACATCTCACATAAGATGACACACAAACAGCACACCTCACTTACGTATATCCACTAGCACAGCCGCAGCGCTTCAGGATGCTTGTGCATGTGAAAGCAGATGAAAAAAGCTCCACTGGGGGCCGTCACCAGTGAGGCGAGGAGCAGGTGTCTCCAGCCAGGCAGAGAGAGAACCAGGGCAGCCTGCCTCGGTTGAGTCTTAGCCCCACCAGTGCTCCACTCGCCTTGGAGGACA